TCATTCTTTTTAACCTGTAATAGGTGAAGTTCTACCTAGTTTCCACGTCTTGGATTGGCCGTTTGGGAACTTTGTTATGTTGTAATTAATACTTTAAAAGCCTTTCTGAAGATAAGGTACTTTTTTTTAATGTTTTTTGCAGAATTGTCGAAAAAAGGACTTTTTATTTTATCTATTATCAAATCAGTTTTGACATAACATTCCTGAAGTAATGAATCTAACAGTTTTTCTTGTTGGCGGTTTATATCCAGGAATCCACCCTGCAAACTTTTTAAAAGCTGGTTCTTCACCTATAGAAAACAGATGAAACGAGTCTTTGCATAAGTTTAGTAAATCAATAAGTTTAGTCAAGAAAAAGAAACTGATAAAGATGACTTAAGTCCATTGTGTATTTTTGATGAATTAATTGGACATGACTCATCTAAACATACAACTGTATCGAGAGATATACAAGAAGTCGACATGTATTTGTCTGATAATATATTACCCACAATAAATTTCGAACGGAGATTGGAACTGTCCATTACCGTGGTGGAAAAACCATCGCCATGTATATCCTAACTTAGCCACTATATTCATAAAATATTGTAGAATTGTAACAAAATCTTTTCCTTGTGAACACATGTTTAAAATCTGGTTTAATTTTAAATAAAAGAAGAACACGGTTAACAAGAAAAGTAGAAAAACTTGTTTTTAAATGTCAATTTAGACGATTCGCGATTTAATAATAACGTGTAATGTAAATGTAAGTACGATTTAATGTAAATGTAAGTACTATTTGTATTGTTTAATTTATTTTTCAAGTTATAATAAATATATCCTTCGTTAGGTTCTTTCACTTCAATACTTATACACATAAACGATAATAGCCAATATGTTTGTGTACTCGCTAATTTGAATCAACTAGTTACAGTTTACGAAAAACGGTTCCGATAAAAATTTAAAAAACGGGAGGACCCACCTCTAGTTTTTAGGTATATTAGGATCGGAACCAGAGAATATGTAAAATATCTCTGATCGGAACTATTCGTCTCACTAATGGCCAATAGGTGTTAAAAATATTTGAGGAGGGGAGACCAAGGGGAAATATGATTGTTATCTTTGTCTATTCGCTGAAAATATGATTTTATATCTGCGTTAGATATCCTGTTAAATTTTACCATACCGACCATAAAATTTTTCCTACACTGTATATATATATATATATATATATATATATATATATATATATATATATTATATATATAACAATTGTGTTGGAATATCGGGTATGCGGTCTGTTATCATTTAAAAAAAGACTCTTTTTTCTTTTAATCCTCTATATTTCGCTGATTTTTTGTCAGCTTCATCAGGAGACAACTAAAAATTTGAATAAAAGTTATATATAAAATCAGTTTGAATAAAAAGTGACTCACTTACAGATTTGGAGTGGAAAGTATTTAAACAAGTTGAACATAATTTGTTCAAAACAGTACTGACAGTTTTTGTTAAAAGTACCTAGGTCACTAGTAATTAAATGTAAAAATATAAAACAGATCAAACAAAAACAACGAAACAATTAAAACACAATAAAATTACACATTAAAAATATACAGGGTGATTTAAAATATAATTGTTACCAGAAAAATTATTTAGACATACTAAGAATATTACAGTAGATATTGCTCAACTGTCCCGTGTCTGCCTTGTAATTTACTGCATAGTTTTCTCTATTTATATGACACATTTCCAAAAGCAATCTTTTTTTGTAATTATTTTCTTGCTGTAAAACCCTTACATTTGAGTAATCAAACTGATGGCCAGTTTTTAAGTGATGGTCAACTGCCGCACATGTGTTCTTCCGTTTTGTGCAGTCACTTTTGTGTTGGGTGACCCTTTGTTTTAGCCATTGAGAAGTTTGGCCAACATAACAGCTCTGGCAATCCAAACAAGGCACTCTGGAAGATATTTAAACTTTTTTTCAAATCATCCTACTCACCAAAAGTTTAATACAGTCATTGCAATGAAGAATAGGGTAAGGCATATTAGTGACGATAAATTCATAAACAAAAACTTAAATTTGCTGTTAAACATCTTTCAAAATAATGGATACCCAAAACATATCCTTAAAAAATTACTATTTAACTCTGACATTTTTGACGGTCCCATGATATCGGAGCAGTACAAACAACACAATATAAAAAAACTACATTAATAAAACAGTTAACACCTTCTGTGACTAGTTTATTTAAACAATTTACCATTGAATTGAATTGAATTTTTTTATTAGAAAACCGACAACTGTTTTCTAAAGTAAAAGACAAGACACCAACTTTAAACAAAACTAATGTTATCTACAAACTGCCTTGTTTGGATTGCCAGAGCTGTTATGTTGGCCAAACTTCTCAATGGCTAAACAAAGGGTCACCCACACACAAAAGTGACTGGGTCCCTGGGACCCTGACAAATGTCAGGGTTTTACAGCAAGAAAATAATTACAAAAAAAGATTGTTTTTGGAAATGTGTCATATAAATAGAGAAAACTATGCAGTAAATTACAAGGCAGACACGGGACAGTTGAGCAATATCTACTGTAATATTCTTAGTATGTCTAAATAATTTTTCTGGTAACAATTATATTTTAAATCACCCTGTATATTTTTAATGTGTAATTTTATTGTGTTTTAATTGTTTCGTTGTTTTTGTTTGCTCTGTTTTTATATTTTTACATTTAATTACTAGTGACCTAGGTACTTTTAACAAACTGTCAGTACTGTTTTGAACAAATTATGTTCAACTTGTTTAAATACTTTCCACTCTAAATCTGTAAGTGAGTCACTTTTTATTTAAAACTGATTTTTATATATAACTTTTATTCAAATTTTTAGTTGTCTACTGATGAAGCTGACAAAAAATCAGCGAAATATAGAGGATTAAAAGAAAAAAGAGTCTTTTTTTAATGATAACAGACCGCATACCCGATATTCCAACACAATAAATTGTTTTTTACGTTTCAGTCGATAATCTTACGAGTTTTGCTATATATATATATATATATATATATATATATATATATATATATATATATTATATATATATATATATATATATATAAACAAATAACACAGTTTATTAGGGCTACAGTTAGAAGTTTGACACGCAGTTTTTTTATCGACACGCAGGAAGATCATTTTCGGGGCGGAGGGTGAACTTTTAACATCATTAGATAAACTAAAATTTTACTATGAACGAAACCAACTGAAACCAAACCCGTCAAAAACACAGATATGTGCTTTCCCACTCAAATAATGCAGAAGCTGACAAAAAGCTTAAAGTGGTCTGGTCGGGTCAGGAATTAGAGCACTTTCCAACCCTAAAATACCTAGGCGTTACCTTCGACAGATCTTTCACATACAAACACCACTTTCAAAACACAAACATAAAAGTAACTTCAAGAAACAATATTCTAAAAAAACTGACAGGTACAAACTCGGGATGCTTAGATAGATAGATAGATAGATGGTTTATTGGTAATAAATTAATACAATAAGTATTTTTTACAAGTCAAATAAAATAAAGTAAATGTCAATATAGTTAATATGCACACATAAATATAAACACAAAACATAGATACATTGTTTTAAATTATACTGTTAACAATTACAACAAATTAAAATTGGAAGTAAAATACTCCTCATATGTAAAAAAAACATTCACTATAAGGTAACTCATAATTTTTGCCTTAAACTGATGAAAATTAAGAGCCTTTATTCTAGCTGGCACTAAGTTGTAGAATTTTATGGCTAAATACCTTGAACCATTTCTGGATGTCTCAAGACGGCTAAATTCTGGTATAAGATTCTTTTTAAATCTGGTGGAATAATTGTGAAAATCTACATGCGCATTGTATTGGCTAAGATTTTGTTTAATGTGCAACATACACTGCATAATGTATACACAAGGTAAAGTTAAAATTTTTAAAACTCTAAAGGAGTTTCTACAGTCTGCTCTATAAGAGAGCCCAGAGATAATACGAACACACTTTCTTTGTGCAAACACTTTATCGATATGACAAGAGTGACCCCAGGAGAGAATAGCATGTCAGATGAGAATGAAAATTACTATGATAAGCTGTTAAAATAGTTTCCCTGGAAGTCACTTGTACAAGGTTCCTGAAGAGAAAAAGTTGTCGGGAAAGTTTTTTCGATAGATTAACTATATGTTGTTCCCAGGTTAATCCTGCATCCAAATATATCCCCAGAAACTTCGCTCCGGTTACACATTGTGGTAGACCAACGTTTTCGACACAAGTGTTATTTCTTAGAGTAAAATTAACACTTTGTGATTTAGAGTTGTTCAAAGAAAGACGGATAGTTAAAAACCAATTGAATAAGTTTTTTTCAGATGTTTGGTACTCAAGGGTGTCGAATTCAGAAGGATGATAGCTTGCATAGAAAGTAGTGTCATCAGCAAATAAAACAGTGTTGACTGTTTCATTTTGAGAGTACACTAGATCATTAATATAGATAAGAATAATACTGGACCCAAAACCGAGCCTTGAGGGACACCAAACAACAAAGATTGTTTTGAGAATCACACTGGTTGAAGTGAACATATTGATCACGATTTGATAGATATGACTCAATTAGTTGAATAGCATCACTATGAAAATTATAATAAGGAAGTTTTCTAAGCAGAATACTATGTGTGACACAATCAAAGCCTTAGTAAGATCTAGAAACGATGCAAGAGTATCAAGATATTTCTCAAACCTTCCAAAACATTGCTAGTGAAAATTATCAATAGCTAAAGTTGTTGTTTTATTTTTTAAAATTCGTTCATAAACTTTTGATAAGATGTGCAACAAAGAAATGGGTCGATAATTGTTATAATCATCAATAGAGCCTTTATTCTTAAACAGAGGTACTACCTTTGCAGTTTTGAAAACTTGAAGATAACTATTACAAAATATTGATTGATTTGAAAATACCTACATGACCCTTGTATCTCAGCGCTTGCACCGGCTTCAGTCTGTAGACTCTCAACACATTCCTCGAAGATGGAAACTGTTCTACGTGAGACGGGTCGAATCATTACAGGGTGCCTTAGATCTACACTAATCTCTAAAATCTACTCCATCGCAGAATAGCCCCACCTAAGATCAGAAGAGCTGTAACCGTCGAGTCCGAGAAAGACAAACAAGTCAAACACCACCATCACCTCCCTGTATGAAATGCCGAACAACCCACCCAACTGAAACACGCCGTAACTTCCTTTATTACACAAAACAGCTGGAGATCTCACCAAGCTACCGAAAGAGAGAACTTTTCAGCCAACACGATCCATAATCTTTACTCCACAATAAGGAGGAATTACGTGCCAGGTCAAACTTACCTTTCTCAATGTGGAAATCTCCAAACTGTCTACAAAGTGTAGTGACCTGCTGCAAGTATAATTTGAAAAAGTAAGGCTATGTTAAAGATGATCTGTATGACTGTAGCGCTGTACAAACCAATGATTATCTGCTGGTGTGCTAACAGCTACAACAAACCTATACCCAAGAAGACCTAAAGCATGCTAATGGAAACGGAAACTGCCTTTGAAATCGTAAACACTGGTAGCTAAGAATTTGACTGGAACTGAAGAGACACGGGAAGTAAGTAATTACAGTAGATGTCTGTTTATGTACAGAAATATGTTGTTTTGATGACGCTTGTGGACTACATTTGTAAAAAAAGTTAATTGGGGAACCTATTTGCTTGATATAACAGTGATGAATACAAGTTTTGATTTCTACCATCTTAAAAAATTCGTGTATGGTAACATAGAGCATTTTTATTAAAGAACAAATATCTCTACACTGCCATTTCTGTAAAGATAGAGTACTATTGATTTAATAAATATATAAGGGCAAATTTTATATCAATAAAAAATACCGTAGATATTTTTTGATTATCACATAACCCTCAAAGTTTAAAACATTGTGCCACCTTGCGTAATTTTTTGTAATCAGTTTTTATACAAACAAAACCAAACGAAAAAGTTATTGTTTGATGTACTGCTCTACGTATTCGATAGCATTTACAAGTACCATTTTTTCCGTCGCTCTCATTTTAATAGCAAGTCTTCGATTAGCACTCAGTTCTTTATTTTCCAATAATTTTAAATCTCCATCGAGAGTGGTTTTGTAAATGCCCAATAGCAATTTGAGACGGGCTTGAAGAAAAATCCAAGATTTCTTCTCGAGACTCGTATCTAGGGCGCATTCTAGGTATTGCACGTCGTCGGATCGGTCGTTATCCAACCAGTGTCGGAGTTGCTCTGAAACAATAATATTTATAAATAAAATGGGCATAACACGAAAATCATTAGGAGATATTGCTAATGATAGGTTAGTGGAAGAAGAAATAAGTGCCAAATCATCAAATACTAAAGAAATATATAGGAAACGGCAAATAACGAACGACATAGTAAATAATTATTACTACTAATTAACAATATGTCACTTTAATGGGTAGCGTTTGAACTTTGAGTTTTGAACCATAAAAAGAAAGATCTATAAAGGGATCTCTGAGCAAAGGGACAAAGAAAAGATATGAACCTTGGCAATCTTATATTTAACACTATAAAAGTAACAGTTTTAGATCAACACAATCTCCAGCATGATTAGAAATAATCTATTATGTTAACCTTGTATTACTGCAGAAATGTCGAGATCAAAGGAAAGACGTCTTTGCTGTATTTATTGACTATGAAAAGGCCTTTGATCGAGTACAGCATCACAAATTAATTACAATATTAAAAGACAAAGGAGTTGATAGTCAAGACATACGATTCATAGAAAAGTTATACTGGCGTCAAAAATCAACAGAAATATGTAAAATACAAAGAGTTAATTTATATTCAGATAGAATATTTAAAGAAGCGCTGCATAATTTGGAATGGGGCGTGAAAGTTAATGGAATTCTGATAAATACAATCAGATATGCAGACGATACAGTTATTTTAAGTGATGACATGAATGGATTACAATGTCTTTTAAATGTCATTGATACAGTGGGAAGAGAGTTTGGCCTAAACATAAACTGTTCAAAAACAAAACACATGGTGTTTAGCCGTTTAGCACATCAAGATGCACGATTATATGTTGATGGTCATATAATTCAAAGAGTGTCCAGTTTTAATTATCTTGGTTGCCACATTACTGAACAACTAGATCCAGATCAAGAGATAAAATGTAGAATCGAGATAGCCCACACGACATTTTTAAAAATGAGGTAATTCTTCTGTAATGATAACTTGCAACTTCAACTTCGAAAGCGCATGGTTAAATGCTACATTTGGTCAGTCCTCTTATACGGTGTCGAAGCATGGACATTAAAAATATCCACCATTAATCGTCTGGCCTTTGAAATGTGGGGACACAGACGTATACTAAAAATTCCATGGACGGCTATGCTGACAAATGTGGCAGTCCTTGAGAGAGCAAATGCTGCTCGCGAGCTGCTTGATAATATCAAATGTAGAAAGATGGCCTATTTTGGACACGTAGTAAGGGGAGACGGATATAATATTCTTCAACTTATTATGATGGGTAAAATCGAAGGACGCAGAGGAATTGGTAGAAACCAGGCCTCTTGGTTGAAGAATATCAGGGAATGGACAGGAATAAGGATGGCTGAGCAACTCTTTAGAATAGCTCGATAGCTCGACAGAGACAGTTTCAAGGGGACTTGATAGGGCACGTTAAGAAGAAGTTAACCTTCCACGGTAACGTGAATTCTTGTAACTTAGTTGGCAATGTCGGTCTAAGACACCAACTTTTTTAATAATAAATATCTTAGGTTGTGATTTTCTGTTAATATTTTAATGTGACTAAATATTTAATATAACTATATTTAAATAACAATATAGTAAGAAATGATCAATATTTATTTATTTTCGAGAAAAAAATGCACATTAAAAAAATGGCTTCTTTTAGGTACAAACATAATTGACAAACAATTTACAAAAACATGTCAAGTTTTTGAATACAAAATATCAACAAACATAAAGACAAGGGTTGAAATATCACAAAAAAAATACAATTATTCAACAGATGTCCAACAAAACTGAAACTATTGTCCGTTTGCTTCCTCATTTTCTTCTACACTGCACACAACGCATAGTCCGGTTAAATGTTCCAAACACATATATTTGCCATACTGCCTACAAAGAAACCAAGTTTTGCGGTTTTTCTTACTACTGCAGAACGTAAATCTTCCATACACATTATTCTGGATAGGATGATTTCTTGTCTGCATGCCACAAATTTCCACTAACTTCATACGAATTGTCCTTGGAATATTTTGTTCTAGGGCTCGTCTGCGAATATGTTCGTCAATAAGTTGAAAACCTAAGTCTTCCAAAAACTTTCGTCTAGGAATGCGTGTGTTTGTATTCGATTTGTATATAATGTAGGAATTTATCCCAACGACATTCAAATAACTGTAAAAAATGACCATTGGCCAGCAACGGGTTGCTCTAGCGCAATTGTGAGCCGTGCAGAGTTTGTCCACGACATCCATGCCTCCTTTAGTCTTATTATATCTATGATTATTTCTTTTTTACATGTTGCATTATCAATGTTGTCGTCGTAATGCATAGTAGATAACATTAACATTTTTACCGTTTTGGGGTACATACGATACAAGAGTACACTTCTCTTGAAATGCGAACATACTGGTTTTTTCTGGCCTTTGTTGTGTTAGCACTAGAGGAATTTATTCTTTCGTAACGTTCCTACGTTACGTGCGAGGTAAACGCTTGTGAAAAATACGTAACGTTCCTTCCCGTTCCCCAAATCGGTTTACACAGACGAGGTACAATTGACATATTTGACGTATCAACAAAATATTTTCCTGCTGGCTGTCTACCAACATATACATCCATCTTGGACGTATAATCCATCTCAGCGTCTGCTAAAGCATATATTTTTATACCGTAACGATTTGGTTTATTCGGTATGTAAATCCTGAATGAACATTTGAGGCAAAAGACTTCAACTTTTCATCTAACGTAGTATATGCTGAAAGATTGTAATGCTTCGGTAGATTATAATTAAAAGCTTCAAAAATCTCACGTATCGCAGTCAACTTGTCGAATTCTTGCCTTTGTATTCTAGTACTTTTGTCATCAAACCGAATATGTCTTATAAATGAACTGGAACCTCTTTAGCGACATCGTAAGGCGATAAATCTCCATTGATCTTCCATCTGTTCTAAATAAATCATCAGCATTCTGATGACTGCTTTTGTTAGCCCCCACAAAGCTTTTAATTCTATAATATCAATTGGCCTAGCCGTTCTGTTATTGACTGTGTCATAGCGTTTCAATGCTATGAACTTATTGGTGCATTCTACTATTTTTTCTAGAATATCTGTAGTGAGAAAACATTCCCAAATCTCTTTTATCACCAATTTTCGCCTAATATCACCTTTTGGTCCTGCCAGATTGGATAGTACGAGTTCGAACGTTACGATTAAATTCATGATGTTTCCTCCACCTTGTTCCATCTTTCCCAAACAAACGTGGTATGCGCGGTATTACTTCTACTGGTACATGATTTTCGACATATTCTTCATCACAGAAATCCTCCTCTGAATTGGTATCATATTCTAGAACTTCTGAATAATCATCTTGCAAACTTGCAACCTGATTTGTTCTCTTTCGTAAGCCATATTCACATACAACTCCTAAAATGAATATCTATTATTTAAACTGACTATGGATCAAAAACACGTGGATAACACTCGGTCGCTCACACCGTCAGGTCGAATAACATATGAACTATCCTAACTCAGCCACAGATTTTTCACGACTGAATAGCGTGATGAGTATTCGAAAGCTACCTGGCCGCGCGGACAAAACAATATGCGCATTTGAGTTTTAGCGCGAAAAATCTACTACGTCGATGTCAAGGACCGTACGTTACCACTCGAAGGTTAATCAATGAATCCTAATGTTTAATGCAACGTAATACAATTATACACAGAACATAATATAGAATATGCATCAAAAGGTGGTATTTACTGGTTCAAACCGGAAATGTTTTTTTTACTTTGGATAGGAAAACAAAAAATTCCAAATAAAATCATATAACAGTATAACACAAATTGAATATTAGAAATGACTTTTCAAAAATGACAGCCTAACGTTACTGCTGATGGATACCTAATGCAAATCAATTATTAAAATTAATGCTTACCTTCGTTCATGTTAAATATTCGTACAAACGCCAATAAGGATCCGTCAATAGGTAGAGGTCCTTTTTTAATAAAAAAGTTACTGGTTGGCTGTATATTTAGTTTGTTTAACAACTCTACCCTCTTCTCTTGCAGTGGATCAGATTTACTTATACCCAACTTAATCCAGTATCCGTCGTGTTCGTTATTTTCATACACAAATCTAAAACAGATACAATAAATAATCTGAAGAATTACGTATAGAGCATATGGTTATGGTTAGGTCAGATTCGAGGTAGGACCCATTTCGGAATCCTTCATACACTTGAGCAGGACCAAATATGATACGGACTAAGATCTATGATTACCCATGTCTTCGTCATATCTGGAGACCCAGATATTCTGAGCCTCCTATTACTAGAATGAGCATGGTTCCAGAGTCTGATTCCATCTTACTGCCCAAGGTGTCTAGTCTCTTTATAGAGTTATGGTCACTCATAAAAGCCACAAGTTTCTTTAAGGATATCTCTTTCACTTGGCTCGACTGGATGAATGCCGAACCAAGATCTTGCACCCTCTATTAGGCCAGTGTGATCATCTACAGGGGATATAAGGAGGTTTCCTCCCGACTCAACAGTGTAATCAATAGGCAGACATTATGGTTAAGTACTCTACAAGAGAAATACACACATTTAAATAATACAACAACTGATATACACAATTCACAGCGGAACATGGTCCCCAATGAAATTCAATTTGATCCAGACTAATATTATCTTCTAATGCATACGTTCTTTATGCTTCTTGTTCCAAAGTAGAATTTAGAATCACTCTAATACTACTGTAACAATTGTCTACTCCTTTAATCGACCTGCGGCCCCATGGGAGGCAAAAGCTTTCTCAAGGGTACCCCGTTCACTTAGCTCGGCTGGATCGAGATTTTGCCACCTCTGTGAAACATATTTTTCTGTCTGGGTATCACACACATGCCTATATACATCATCTATAATAACATCCTCTCTCATGTTTTCTTCAGGGCTTCAAGGGCCTCAGTCTCCTGAGCCACCAGATACATTCAGTACACTGTTCACTACTCACTACACTACCGCTGCTGGGGACGAAGGACGGTTGATTTATACCGTCGATGAAGGCATGGTTCACTGACGTGGGCGTTGGAGCAAAGATTCCTGACGGTCGGATTTGGATTGTTAGGTGGAGCAGACGAAGTTTTCTTTAGAAGAGGTCACAGACATTCTAGTGGTCGAGACCCTAAACATTCTGAAACCTAATCAGCAATCAGGTAAGTGGCTTGATTCAGCAAGACCAGTTATCTCTTATTAAACATTGCATGTCCCACACTTTTTCATATTCCAAATCAACTCTACATAAACATAAATGGTGCCCCAATGTAGTGCCTCCCACTACTTTCCGGTAATTACCAATTTCTTTAAATAAGACTTCCAGATCCGCGCACTATCCAGATCAATACTCAAACCCACATGTTAGCTACGATATGTTGACGATGCATTCATTTGGCTCCACGGCAAGGCTGCTTTGGTATTTTTTCAAACCCATCTAAATCCTAGTATCCAGTTCACCTAGTATCCAGTCCATTTCCAGGAGATGGAAATTGATTCATCCTTACCGTTTCTCGACGTTCTCATAAGGAAAAACCAATCCCAAAGTATCCATTACTCTGTTTACCAAAACCCACCCATACCAACCGCTACTTGTATGTTAACTCTCACCGCCCACCTTGACAAATTAATTCAGTAATTAATACACTTCTCTCCAGATCAATATGCCTTTGCAATGATGCAAATAGATCCAAATATATCTTCTTTAAAACATGCCCTCATCCAAAATGGTTACCGTGAAAATCACCATTAACAGGCATCATTCCCCACTCAATATCAACCCAAAGACTCAAATCCTCATCATACGAAAGCTTTTCATTCTTACTTCTTCAGTGTAATCAAAGATTACACTAAAAAAATCGACAAAATCTCCAAATCAAATAATATCAAGTCTTCTCAATTCTCTTGTCCGATCACTCAAAAACAACATTCCAAATGAATAAAACGAAGTTTATAAAATTTATTGCGCAGACTGACCCGATCTTACATAGGCCAAACCAATCGTAGAATTAAAAATAGTATTTATGAACATTCTATTTGTGTTCGCAATTCCGATTCAATTTCATCTCTAGGTCATGGCCATCTTCATACAGATCGCATATTTAATTGTGAAAACTCGATAGATCCATAGCCATTTTCCGTTTCTATAAATCAATAATTATTCGAAAAGCCATAGAGGCTTAAAAACGGCCGAATTGTCACAATAAAACTAACTAACTAAAGCTAATCTTACCCATTGTGAATAAAAAAGTCCGCATTAGTTCTTGCTCCATAAAAGATAAAGAACTGTTCTCCTGGTTGGTAATCTTTTAGTGCTAAACATTCGCATCTTTGCAAATCAGGATTATAATCAGTGCTTATCTACAAAAAGTTTTAATGTTTTAATTAAAAATTAAAATTTGGTTAAATAGAAATATGAAGCACATAAAAACTGCCCCAAAATGTTTTACGGTATAAATATAAATATTTGTTACAGTCTACTAACTGATAATTTAAAAAATAAGATACAATACAGTACATTAAATTTGTTGATAATGTCGATAAAACAGTCACTAAAATAATATATATAATTTCCTCCAATCAGCATAGATTTTAAAATGACAACTGGAAAATGCTTTATTTCTACCTGCTACATTTATAATAATAACAAATTGAATACATCAAAAAGCCAGAACTAAAGAGAACCAGTTAAAGTATAATTGTGAAAATGAACACACAAAAAAATGTCTTCCCATAAAAGAGCCATTTAAACCTAAATGTAAATGTGTCGATTATCCAAGTAAAGTCAAATTTATGCTGAGTAATTCATAGGGCGATTTTAATAACTCACTTTAAATTCGATTTACAATTCCGAAATACAACATCGAATTCCAAATTCGTAAAGTAAATTGACTTCTGTTCTTAGAGAAAAGACCACATCAGAAGAAAAACAGCATTTTAACTCAGCCGAATATAATGGGCTTCTAGTTCTAACAATAAAATGATACAAGATACACTTGGAAAAAATATGTGGTTTATTACTGCAAGAGATGGTTGAGTTGCATAGGTTATTTCATTGCAATGTGGAAATAATAATTGTAAACTATAATTATATATAATTATACAAAGATATGGTTTTATCTAACAATACTTACTGTTCCATTAATGTGGTTACACATATCCCAAAGTGGTATTAACGCATTAACGGTACCTTCATGGCATTCAGAGGGTATGGTATTTTGTCTTGTCATAACTGTGGATACCGCCCAGCTGTAAATAAACATAAACTCTCTATAAGATTTAATATAACATATAATATTTAATAAGTTTTTGTAGTTAGCTCGTTTAATACGCTGCTTCAGAAATGATTAATATTTTCAAAAGTTATTACAAAGCTAAAACCATAACGTCCTTTGCCGCCCATATGGACCAGCCATCTCTGTAGCCAACGATGTGATGCTGGTAACATTAATGATGTTACCTTATCTTCCATAAAACCCAAACACCACCTCAAAAAAACTGAAACACTACCATCGACTGTATATATACGTAGATGAAAAGCTGTAAACTCAATTTAAGGAAACAAATAGCTGCTTTCTGGTTAGTTTAAACACATTCGCTGCTGTGATTTAAATTTTTGACACCGCTCGGCACAAGGTAAATTAGAATGTTTTTCTAGAAAAATAATTATATAACGGAATTTTAGAAAAAATAAGTTTATTTATTCTATAAAGTACAGAAAGATTTACATATTGATTTGATTTTGATTCTCATATGACTAATTTCAAAGCATTCAATACAAAATCCGGGTTGACAGGACATTTTTCGCATTGATATATTGTCTGCTTTTTAATTTTGTTTTCGGAGCATATTTTGCAACGCTTTCTCTTTGTTAGTCCCTTATTAACCATAGGAATTTTTGAAATACTATGTCTGGAGACAGGAATATTTTTCTTGTTTTTCACAGTTTGAAGGGCCCGGCATACTTTTCGCCATTTTGAATCACGAAACTACCACAGCAAAGAAGTGGTAAAATTTTTTAATACTTTAGGTCCTCACTCACACCCTGACAAATATTAACTACTGTCGGCGTCCTATTTAGTAAAATATACCGTCTTAAAAATCAACGGGTTACTGTTCCCGATCTGAGTGATGCGCACCTAGCAAAGGAATACTTTGACTCCGATCTGAGTCATGTGCAGCGAAAGTGTTGAATAACGCACAAACCAATTTAAAAACTGAAACCTAAGATGTGTTCGTATTTAAATGATAATCCTGAAAACCACACATCGAAATAATGGGTTGATGCAAAACATCTAATTTTTTTTTTCAATCCTTTTAATTAAAGGCACTCAGAACGATAACGAAAGATATATATCCTTGTTATATATCCATTGTAACATTTCCCAACGATCTTTGGATGTCTTTTATAAAAGATGTAATTGTCAAGAGGTTTTATTAGAGATTTTAGTCATATTTAAAACACACTCTCCAGAAGGATTGGTAAGAGCAGATGACATAAAAAGAATAGCTGGAACAAATTGGAAAAACGTTGCTCAGGATAGAGATCAATGGAAGGAGTTGGGAGAGACCTATGTCCAAAAATGAACGATAGCAGGCTAAGAAGAAGAAGTAATTGTCAACAAGGTAAGACAATGTAGGCCTGATCAGAACAAGCAAACGATAAAAGATCTGTACCAGCAATCACTAGCACAAATTTAAAAAAGTTTGATCAAAATATTGAGCTAATTACGTCAAACTGAAGAACCTTAGTTAAAATGTACTCAATCCAGAATAATTTCAAACTATTTACTAATAGATTTGATCTCTAAAAACGAGACGAAGAAGCTGAATTTTCATAAGAATGCCAATTTAAGACCCCGAAAGGATGCAAAAAAACGCCAGACTGTAACGACAGATCGCACGACCACACACTTTACGCGACCATACACTACGTGGAGTAGTAAACGCAGTCCCTTATACAATAAAATAAATTAAAAACCATCGCTCCGTGCGTAGACGATAAGAAAGCTATGCTTTACCTCCCCCTCCTAGGTCACTCCTGGAGTGCCACATCTTGATTTTTATTTAGGATAAGGATTACCATTTTAATAGTTACATTTTAAAATCTATAAAATCAAAATTTATGAAAGTTGCTGACCATCAATACCGTCAAATATACTGTCTTTTAGTTAAGAATACCAAATAAGTGACAAATAACAAAATCAAGGACCATTTTGTAAATAAGCTTAACGTGCAAAAAACAAACTATGATTTTTTCTCATTTGAGTAATATTTTATTGATTACATTAGAATTTCCCTTGTAGCATTTGCAATTCATTGATTTTTTTGGAGTACATATATTAGAATCCACTCGTATTTGTAATATATTGAAATCCCCTCATAAATGTTTAAAAAATCGAAGAGTATTTTAATGCATTTCAGTTTCCTATTCGTACGTATTAAAACCCAAATATGTTTTCAATTCCTTCTTAAGTCGGCTCGAGAATATAAACCATTTAATAGTTTGTTTATATTTTACAGATGCTGTTTCTTCGGTATTTCTTTTAATGTTTTATTCGAACTGCTTGAATTACGTCTTCTCATAAAGGATTTGCGTTTCAACCATCGATTAAGTGTTTTGTTATTTTAAGTTATGCGATCAATTTTTGAGGATAATTTGAAATATTAATTTCATCACTCTCAGTGAAACCGCTGTCAAAAGCGTTTATTGTTTTATTGGAGTCCGAATTTTTCTTCAAATTTGTAATGTTTTTTCGTTTTTTTGTATTTTGTCATGGGAAAATGTGTAGTGTGGTGGCAGCTAAGAGCTCGGAGTGTAATCTTCAGAAAGCCGACAGATCTTGTTTGTGGAAAGTTATATGTGTTGTATTATGTTCTAAATGAAAGATTTGTAAAGTGTTACAACGATATAAGAGACCATCGTATTTTTAATGAAGTTTTGAAAAGCCAAGCTTAGAAGATTGCAATTTTTTTAACCCGAAGCCCGATGATCCAGCCCAACTTCAACTTCCTTCATCTATTTGTTTGTCCCTGGTCATTCAAGAACATTTTGAAGCTTGTGAGACGCATTTGTGTTATTTTTCAGTGTTTAGAAAACCAGTTCCAGCCCCAAAACCTTTAAAGGAGATATAATGTTTAGTGAAATCAGGTACTTTTTTTGTTAAATTTTTTTTAAAGTAAAAATAGACATTTTTCATCAATAATTGCTTTCATGACAAGTTGAAAAATTGTAATAAGTAAAATTATAAAAATTAGGGATTGGCTAACTGTCATAATAATTATTTTACCTTAATGTAAACTGCATTGAAATATCTAGATGATTTCAATTTATTAATAATGTAAGTTCTTATAGTGTCCCCACCGTCTAGAGTTGTAAACCGATAGCAACATTGTTTTGTTATTATTATATGTTTTGTAACTGTTTGTGTTAAGACACAATAAATGTTAAATTTTGTTTTCTTCTCTAAACATTTTGTTTATTTTTTAACTAACCCTTTTTTGAGTTTTATTTGAAAAGATATGTTTTTGATGTTTTATAATTATTTCCCTAGTTACAACTAATGGTTGTAATAGGTATAATTAGGCACCACAAGTGGCGCCCATATTAAATTACTAGAGGTGTTTCCTGTTTCTTTTTGCTTTGTTTGTCCCAAGAGATTCATGACCTTTTGTTTCATATTTTTGTAGTTGCCCCATTTCACCCCCCTTATCTTTTACTTATCCACGACCCCAGCTCTCCTAACAAACCCTGAGTGCCGTCCGCACAAGTAGCGATTATTTTGCTTGCCTTATCTCCACCCCCTTAGTTTCAGTCCCCAATTTTCTACCCCTTGTATTAATACCCCATGTGGTAAGCAAAAATAACTTCGTTACACCCTGATAAATACATCGCAGCATTATTTTGTGTATCCATCTTTGTACCGAAATAAATCAAAATCAAAAACATACTCTACCTACCGGACCAAGTAACTAAGTAAATACAAATTAAATGATTGCATAAAAATAAAAATACGGTCAAGTATAAGAAGATTCACAAGAAAATTACGAGTGAATGCAAAGCAATTGCAACATCTACCACAACAACGGGACACTTATAATTTACGCAGGAAGATTAAGGATACTGTTGGTACGAAAAGGACACAGAATATCGGCGCAATTGTAAGAGAAGACAATAATATTACAACGGAGAAGAAAAAATACTACACTTTATTGGATATTGAGAGAAAGTTAACATAAACTGCAATTATGTATGTAAAACGGTTACAAAATGGACAACATATTTCAAGTTTCTATAAACATTTGCATTGAAAGGTTCGATATATCATATCTATTTATGCGAATAAGCTTTGATAATCAATTTTCATTAATCAATTGAAAAATCTTATTAACTGCTGTCATTTCCCAAGTTAATAGTAGCTGGTTAGATGGTTTTTTCCATAAAACTGTTTATATCGAAGACGAAAATAGCGTATCAATTATTAAATTCTAAAATTTATTGAAAACTGTAAAAATACAGTACATTCTTTTATCATAGGGAGACTTATATAAGTTTAATAATATGTAATTCAATCCTTTACAACGCGTAAATCTATTAAAACAAATCTTTCCTATAATTTCATTTTTAGGAATGATTTGACGTTTCAGGTTGAAACGTTATTAAAATTAATTTATCAGACAGTTCTTCTATATATTGGTAATTTAAGATAATTAAACATAATTAAATTCTACAAAACCCTTATAGCTATTGTTTTATATTTTTTTAATTCCAGGGATAGTTTTCATCACCTAAAAACAAAAAGCACATGTCGCGCGTATATAAATTTTGAAGAAGAGCTTAATTCTAAATTTTTAGAAAAATCGATGCATTTACTCCATTTTTAGGTTCAGTAACTAAACTACAACAATTTTCAATTAAAGATGACTCATCTACAAATTGAACTGAGAACTAACGGCAACAATGTCAGAAGTAAATTCTTATCGGTACTAACCGGGGTCATTTTTATTGTGTATGCTTCGCCAATGTGAATAAATGAAAGTAAGATTGTTCTTACTTAGAGAACTTAGAGAACGAAAGGCTTATGCCTGGCAAGATTTTTTACACGATTTGAGTTTCTCAATAGTAAAGACTGCTCTGAAGAAATCAGAACCAGAATAGAGAAAGCTAGAGCCACATTTACTAAATTGAAAAAGGTATTCTGCGGAAGAGATCTAAAACTTAAAATTCGCCTTTTGAGATGTTACGTTAT